GAGGAATGAGGAGGGTGATTCTCTGTGTGGGGTATAAAGTAGCTATAAAGAGAGAGAGACTGGGTGAAGGCCGTTTCAGGCCATCCAAGCAGAATGGGCATGTGGGCCTAGATGAAGATGGAAAGGCATAGAAGGACCGAAAGGCATGTTCAGGAGGAGAAGAATGATCGACAAGTTTTGGGGAGGGCAGGAGAGGGAGGACACAAAAGTTCCATGATAAATAATGTAGAGGAATGAAGTGAGGGGACCTGGCTTTGAATCCTGAATCTGTTACTTATTGTCTGTGTGACCTTGGGAAAGTCACTTAATTTCTTGAGCACTATCTCATCTGTCAAATGAGTCCTCGTGAGTCAAATGAACTAGACGATTCTAGTGGTCTCTTCTAGCCCTAAAATCCTATGGTGAGCCCAGAGATTAATGTCATTGGCAAAAATGGAGAAGATGGAATAAGGGAGTTTGGTAGTGGTGGTGAAGAATTTTTGGACATGCAACATTGCCCTGTGGGCAAGAGGAGATTTGGAACCAGAAATGTGGAAAAAAGGTGGTGAATCAAGGGATGAGACCTTTACACTTAGCATCCAGGAAGTGCTCACTGAGTAATTGGTGATTGAATTAAAGTTTATTATGTACCCACTGGGTGCAGGACATTGTGCTCCCTGAGAGAAGGCTCTGAGAAGTAAGTCTAGGGTAAAACCCACTTCAAGAGGTCAGGAAGAGGAGATAAAGTAACATCTAGAGAGATTAGAGGAGAATCTGGAGAAGATAGGGGCCCCTGAAACCCAGAGGAAAAAGGATGCCTAGGGCACCACTGTGGAACTTTATTCTCTAAGATAATTCTAGACTTGTTGGTCCTTCATGGTCACATCTACCCCGTTATCTCTGAGTCAGTGCCAAATGTTGTGACTTGTCCCCTAAGAGGTCACCTGGGTCAAAGCGGTCAGAGCTTCCCTCTCCTTTTCTCTTCTCTATGCTTTATATTTCAGTGCCTTTTCCTTATGCTTCATCCTCACATTTTCTTAACTCTAATGCCTTGAGTGGAGAAAGGAAAGTTCAGGTTTTATATATATATATATATATATATGTACACACACACATACACACATACATACATATATGTGTGTGTATATATATGTATGTATGTATATAATTATTATTATGCATTATATATACACTAACCTCTAAGAGCTTTGAAGACCACAATTCAGCCTTCCTGACCCCCCTAGCCTTCTATTTTCCAGATAGAGCTGCCCCATAACTTCTTATTTCCCACCCGTAGAGAAGAACCTAAAGAAATCACTTTACCTCTCTGGGCCTCAGTCTTCCTATCTGTAAAATATAGGCCTTGTATTAAATTACCTCTAAGGCCCTTTCTGGATCTGATATTCTATTAAGTATTTGCTTCCTTTTCCCTACCACCTGCAGTTCCCAGCCTGGGTTCTAGATTTGACATGAATAGGAAGGAAGGAAGGAAGGAAGGAAGGAAGGAAGGAAGGAAGGAAGGAAGGAAGGAAGGAAGGAGGAAGAGGGAGGGAGGGAGGGATGGAAGGGAAGGAGAAAGGAAGGTAAGGAAGAAGGGAGAGAGGGAAGAGACAGAGAGAGAAAGGGAGGAAGAAAATGAAGGAAGGGAGGGAAGGAAAGGAGGAAGGAAGAGAGAGAGAAAGGGAGGGAGGAAAGGAAGGAAGGAACAGCCATTTATTAAGCATTTGCTTTGTAACACACACAAAGTGTAAGATGACACCCAAAGGGAGCTAAAAAGCAGAATTGGGTGGGGAGAGAGGATGGTTTGAGAAAATCAGGACCAGGACCAGGACTAGCACCCAGAGGGAAATGAATGCAGGCTGGTCTGAATCCCTCCACAAAATGGAGGCTCCCAGAGGAACTCCAGGGAATCCATGGGAATAGGTTTTCCCTATAGTGTTTTCCCCTGTGCCTTTTAAAGATTCCAGGAGCGGCCAGGAAGGGGGGGGGCATCCTAGGACAGAGATACTTCAGGGGGAGGGTTAGTTAAAGGTAAAGGGAGGGGAGCTTCAACCTGAACCATGCCAAGTCTGGCAAAAGTTGGTATCTCCAGCATGCAGAAACCACGCCCCCTCCCTGTGATTTCCCCCCCTGCTAGCTGGGAGAAGGACTATAGAGTTGGTCCAGAGACAGAAGAAAGGACAAGATGATGTCAAGAGAACTTAGTCAACTCTAGCTCCAACCTTAGGAGGACTCTCTCCTTCACTTCTAAGGCCCAGATGAACACATCTTCCTACTCTCTATCTAACAGACCTATCACTACTGGGGGCTTGGATCTGCTTCCTCAATCTTCTTGTGATCCCATCTTAGCTCTGTGTCTTGGTTTATACACTCTCTTTCCTCTGTCCAGGGCCTCAACCTCACCCTGACATCTCAACCACTTGCCCTTGTCTTGGCAGGACCATGGACCAATCAGGCAGAAGGAGAATGTAGGCCGGGGGAGGAGTGGGTTCGGAAGGCTGGTTTTTTCCTTCTGCCCTAAATAACCTTTGGCAGCAGGCTTTGGGGGCTCTACTATCCAGCTCTATCCTTTCCAGCCTCACAGCCAATGCCACAGGGTCACTGCCCTGCTTCTCTTTGTGTCTAAGATCCAGGCATCTTCCCAACCTGATTCTGGAGGGTCCCTCTCTGGTCAGGTCACTCTGCATTACCTTTCCTACCCCACCAAGTTTATCAATCTCAGTACTGCACAGAGTTGAGAGAGGTTGGGAGAGAGACCTAATGTGTCCCTGACCTTCAAATCTTAGATTCTTTGAACCCAGGGAACAAGTAGAAAAGATCCAGTAATACAGGCATTCTGGACAAATGAATAAATTTGCCAACCTCTTCTCTCCCTTTGACTCCTGAGCTCTTAAACTCAAGTTGATGATAAAACTGACTTCATGAGCACAGGGTGATACAGAAGGGTATATGATAATTGGAGGAGGAGCAGAGGAGGATAACACTGCCACTCCACACCAAATATACAGCCACCATGTGCAGTGGTGCAGGTGGAATCCTATCACAGCAAGGGGGCAGATGGGATTCAAAAGAGTGGAAACAGAGCAGCATATAAATGGCAAAACAGTAGTGGCTTTTGCTCAGGGTGAGGAGTGGGGGGGGTCAGGCTTTGTGCCAAAGCTACTATAAGGAATCTGGACCATTCCCTCCCCTCCCCATTAGTGTAGTCATTGCCATTTGATATCCACAGAGACGAACTGGCTGCTCAGGGAGGGGTGTGGGGGGGTGGAGGAGGAGGGATGACTCTGAAAACAGCAGCTTCTTTCAGGGCCCAGGTTGGCAGGGGCTTCTGGAGGCCAGACAGGCCTGGAGCCCCCCCCCTTCCACCCCCCACTTCCACCCTGGCCACCAAAGGGGCTGGGGAGAGAATATGGGAGAAGAGAAACTGACATCACTCAAGGCTATGCCTACTGCCTCTGCAGACCATCCCTGGCCCCTCTTCCCAACATGACACCTCCCCCCACTATCATTTTGAAGAACTTGCTGGAAGCCAAGACACCTGTTTTCTCCCAGGTCCCCTGAGCTTCACCCCTATCTAACCCCCAACCTAAATCCAGAGATCATCAGTGCTGACCTCTGAATGAAAATACAATATGGTGACCACAGTTAGGCTGGGAATGTGCTTAAAGATCCTTTGCCACCTGCTTTTGCTGGACCATCCAGAATACCTAGGGCCTGGGGTTGAGATTTTTGTGGCTAGTCCTGATCCTGGTTGGACCTGGAGCCCACCCTCTGAAACAATCTCTTCAGCCCCTCCTGGAGTATTTGTTCCTTTCTGACTTCCCTAGGAGGATACCTTCCCAGAGAAGAAATATGATGTGGGAAAGGGCCCTGAATCTCAGCTCAGTAAAATTGGGCTCCTAATGCTGGCTGCGCTATTTACCACCTGTGGTGAAGTCACCACTTCAGTTTCCTCATCTGTACAATAAGGCTAGAGGATCTATAAAGTCCCTTCAGGTTCCTCATCCATGATGCTATGCTGATCCCCCTCCTCTCTCCGCTTCTGGGAGGAACAATCTCTCCCCAGCCCACACCTGAGCTGAAACTCAACTAAGGAAAGGCTAGGAACAATCTTAACTCACTCCTCCTTCTCCAGCCTGAAGGTTCTGATCTTCATCAATCACCGAGGGGTTACCCAAATGATCTTTGATCAGTCCCTGGCAAGGAGTGGAGGTGAAGAAAGAGGAGTATAATGGAGAAGGGGTGGAAATTGCCCCCTACCTTGTCTCCTTCGGTGGGCCATTTCTCCTCGCCTATTTTTGGAGTCTTTAAATGGTCCCACTGCTCCCCTCACACAGACAGCTGCCTGCAGTCGCGGGTTGCAGGTGGGGAGATCAGTTCTAAGCAGCTGGGAGGACGGGAGGGGAAGGGGTGGGATTGGAGTAGAGGAGGTCACAGGGGAGTGGGTGCACATGCTAGGGAAAAGCCCCCAAGCTAGGAATGGAGCAATTGGACTAGGCAGAGATGGGCATCAGTTTAACTCATTCTCTAACAAGAGAGCCGTGTTTCTCCTAGTGTGTGGTCCAGCGCGAGTGCATGTCACTATTTGAATTGTACTATGTGGGGAGCGGGACAGGGGCTTCTAAGTGTTTCTAGGAGGAGGGAGGCACCGCCGTTGTCATTCAGGGAGCACGTAGGTGAGGGCTACATCTGGGGGTCACTGTGTCACGGACTGAGGAGTTGTGCAGTCAGTTTGGGATCGCCTGAAGCTCCTGTGGAGACGGTAGGGTGGGGAGAAAGGAGATAAGGGTCCAGAGATTCCCCCACCTCAACCCTAGGTGGTGGAGGACCACTATTTCTCAGTGGTCCCTACAGGGACTTCTATAGAGAGCAAAGCTGAGGAACGGGACGCCGAAGTCCGCGGAGGGCTGGATGAAAAAGGCTGGGGTCGGGTGAGAAGCCCTCCACGATTCCATGTTGGAAACGCCAGTTTCTGTTCATCACCCCCGATACCCCAGGGGCACGGTCGCTGCATCCCTTACCTTGGGTCCTGGGCAGAGGGAGGCACCTCGGACCGGGTGGCCGAGAGAATGTACTGAAGGCTTGACTGACGGGGCGGGCTGGAGGGTGAGGAGAGGAGCGGAGCTGTGTGACGGGCGGGGCCGGGCTCTTAAACTAGACCAGTCGATCAGATAAGGGCTGGGCTGGGGCCGGGGGCCGGGGCCAGGGCCGGGCCGGGCCGGGGGCAGAGCTGGGCCGGGCCGGGCCGCCCCCTCCCTCCGCAGCGACGGAGCCAAACTTTGTGTGAATGGAGGGGCCACGGGGGTGTGTGCGGGGCGGGGGGAGATTGAGGGATGGGGGGGAATGGGCGGAGGCGGGGAGGGGGTCCCCAGTGACCAATAAGAGAGTCGAGCGCTGAGGACCTGTTGCCGGGATTGGAGGGGGATGAGCCGGGGGGTGGGATGGGTGGGTCAGAAGTGGGGGAAACAGACTAGGAGAGACACGGACAGGGATAGAGAGACAAGAGAAGGGAGAGGGAGATGAACACAGACACCGGGAGGACACAGACAGACGTCCAGACACAGAGTCAGGGAAATCACACAGGGAGAGAGAGGTGGAAAGATGAAGAGACAGAAAGAGGTAGAGAGAATCAAAGCAAAGAGAAAGAGGAAGCAAGAATATCAGAGGAGGGAGTGAAGCCAGAGCTGGCCCCTGGTTGGGGCCGGAGGGGGGGATGTGGGTGGGGAGGAGTGGAATTGAGGTAGAGTTAATGAGGTGGAAATAAATTCAGGAAGGGCCCAAGTTATGCTGGAGGCTGCAGTGAGAGCAGCTCTTGGGAGTGAAGCTGGGCTCGAGCTCCTGCCTGGCCTTGGGAATGATAGAATGACATGCATTCTTCATTCATTGAGCGCCTACTATGTGCTAGGCTCTGTGAGGATTAAAAAATAAAATTAATGTGCCAGGATCCCTGACCTGGTGGAGTTTAGACGCTAGTCGGGGATGTTGTTAAGCAACTGGGCAGTGGCAGGGAGTTCGATCCGCTGATGTCCAAGGTGTCTTCCAGGTCCTGGATTCGGTGATTCATTCTAGTACGGAAGATAAGACACTGGCACAAATAAATACGATACAGGAAGTATATAACGAATGCTATAAAATTGATGTAAACTAAGATGTGGTTTTGTTACTCCTCCATTTAAAAATCTCTAAGGCTCCTGATTGCCTTGCTCCTTAAATTCAAACTCGTTTGCCTGGCATTCAAGGCCCTCCGCAACCTGGTGGCACCCTATTTTCCCAACCTGTATCTTATACTCCCCCATACCATTTACTCCAGCCAGATTGTACTCCTAGCCCCTGCCCCTCTCACAGCCCCAAATGCACACTGAACTCTTCCACCTTGTGTCTTGCTCACAGCATTTCCCAAGCTTAGAATGTCTTCCCTCCCCTTTTTTGCTTGCTGAACTCTTACTCATTCTTTAAAGCCAAAAGCAAATACCACATCTTCCAGGCAGTCTCACATTGTAGAGATCTTCCCCTCCACCTCACAAAGTCTTTTGTCTTGCACCTTTCTGTGGCACACATTATGTAATACCATTTGTGTTGGTCTTTTAAGCTTTAAACTCTACTAGCATAGAATAGTAGAAAGTGCCTGAGTTGGAATGGGTTTGAATTCTGGCTCTGTTACTCACTATCCATGTGATTTTGAACATTTTACTTCTCTGCTTAGTTTTCTTCTCTGTAAGCAATATTTTTGTGATTGCATCTCTCTAAGGTGCCTTCTAGCTCAAAATCTCCATACCAGTGGCACTTAATGTTTGTTGAATGAGTAATAATGAATCAATCAATCAATCAATCAAGTAAAGGGAGAGAATACTGGTGTCTGGATGATAGGAAAGGCATCCAGGAGGAAGTGGAATTCAAGTTGGATCTTGGAGGATGGGTAGGCTTTCCACAAGCAAAAATGAGAAAGAGGGAGAAAAAAGTTAGGCAGAGGTAACAGGTGGCAGAAAAGCATGAAATGGTCAGAGAACAGCAAATTGTCCCGGTTGGCTGGACTGCTCATATTAGAAAGCTGGGAAACTGAGAAGCTGGGAAGTATTATGAGATAAAGCTGGAGAGAAAGGTTGAAGTCAAGTCATGAAAGGCCTTAAATACTATTCTAAGGAGTTTGGACTTTATTTTGGGGAGTCATTGCTAGTGGAGTTTTTTTTAATGGAAGTGTGACAAGGTCATAGTGGAAGTCCCAAGGTGTGATAGTGCTGAGGGCCTAGAGACAGAGAAAACAGGAAGCTATTGAAATAATCTACTTCTTCTTCTTCTTCTTCTTCTTCTTCTTCTTCTTTGGCTAGGCAATGGGGTTAAGTGACTTGCCCAAGGCCACACAGCTAGTAAGTGTTAAATGTCTCAGATCAGATTTGAACTCAGGTCCTCTTGACTCCAGGCCCAGTGTTCTATCCACTTCACCACTTAGCTGTCCTGCTATTGAAATAATCTAGCAAAAAGGTAATGAAGGTCTGAACTAAGTTAGTGGGAATAAAGAAAATAAAGGTTAGCGTCAGAAGATACCGAAGGAAAAATCAAGACGATGTTGGGATGGAGGAGGGAAGATTAAAAAATCATCACATCTCACAAGTCATACAATGTCAGATCTGATTGGAAACTAGCCCAAACCTCTCATTTTGCCTGTGAGGAAACTAAGGCCCAAAGAAGAAAAGTAATTTGCCCAAGGTCACACAACTAACTAGTGAGTGGCAGAACCAGGGTTAGCACCCAGGTTTGGAGACTGCTAATACCATGCTATTTCTACTACACCCTAGATGACTGGGAAAATCGTGGTGCTACTAACATTTCAAGAAAGGCATCTGACACTCTCTCGTCTTATAAATATGATGTGATTTGGATGACAATGGATACTGAATTAGTTGTCCCAAAGAGTAGTAATTAGTAGTGTGTCAAAGTCTGGTGGGATGTCTCTAATGGAAGACCACAGGGATCTATCTTAGCCCTATTCTATTTAATATTTTTATCAATGACTTAGTTGAAAACCTAAATGACCTGTTTATTAAATTTTTGAAAGAAAGCAGGAAAGGATAGAAAGATAATGTGGCAGTATAAGGATTTTTAAAAGCATAGGATAAATCTAATATAAAATATATCAGACACATATAAAGTCATAGTACTTAGAGGAAGGAAGGGATATTAAATACCATATAAATCAACCATCTCAGCCTACAGAGTAGTAAACTAAGACCCACACCAAAATATGATGAAGTGATTTGCAAAGGTTACACAGTCAGTAGAAGAACAGAAATTTGAATCTCTGGTTTCAAATACAATTCTCTTTCTACTATGCTATGGGGCAGTTAGGTGGTACAGTGGATAGTAACTGGGCTTGGAATCAGGAAGAGCCATCTTCCTGAGTTCAAATATAGCTTCAGACACTTACTAGCTGTGTGGCCCTGGGCAAGTCACTTAACCCTGTGTGCCTGAGTTACCTCAGCTGTCAAATAAGCTGGAGAAGGAAATGGTGAATCACTCCAGTATTTTTGCCAAGGAAATCCCAAAATGGGGTCACAAAGAATTGAACATGACTGAAATGACTGAACAATATCAAAACTGCTATAATGGAAGATTTTTTAAAAATCAGCCACAAAATGTAAGATGTTGAAATCATAGATAGAAAACAATTCATATGAAAAAAAAGAAAAAAAATCAATCTATCAACAAGCATTTGTAAGCCTATGCTATCTGCCAAATATTCCTGCAAGGAACTGAAGATACACAGACAAAAGTGAAATTCCTACCCTTGAGGACTTTACATGTGCAGGGGAATCACATGTACAGATACAGGTACAAAATGAAAGCAAGATAATTTTTGGGTAGGGGAGGCATTAGCAACTGAGGGTATCAGAAGAAAGCTTCATATATCAGGTAGCACTTGAAATAAGTCTTGTAGGTAACTAGGGATTTCAAGAGGTCATGGCGAGGAGGGAGTAGATTCCAGGCATAGAGAACAACAATGAAAAGACATGGAGGTGGGAGATGAAATGTATGAGGAGCAGTAAAAATGCCAGTTTGGCTAGACTATGAAGTGCTTAAAGAAGAATAATGTATAATTAAGACAGGAAAGGAAGACTGGTTCCAGTTTACATAAGACATTAAATGCCAAACAGAAAAGTCTGTATTTTATCCTAGAAGAAACAGGGAGTCACTGGTGCTTAATGAGTAGAGAAGTGACATGATCAGATTTTGGCAGCTGTTAGGAGGATGAATGTGGGAAGGAACTTGAAGTAAGGGAACTGATTAGGAAGCTATTGTTATAGATATGATGAAATCCTGAAATAGGGTGGCACTTGTATGGGGAGAGAGATGATGGATTTAAGAAATGGTGGAGAAATAGAAATTACAAGATTTGACACCTAAATGGATATACGGGGTGAGTGAGAGTGAGAAGTGGAGAATGACCCAGAGGTTGAGAACCTGGGTGACTGGATGGACGGTTATACTTTCAACAGAAATAGGAAATTTTGAAAGAGGGATGAACATGAGGGAGAAAGAAGGAATACTGTTTTTGGATGTGTTGTGTTTGAGATGCCTATGGTACAAACAATTTGTAGTGTCCAATAGGCAGTTGGTGATGTAGGAATGGATCTAAGGATAAAGATTAGGATTGCCTATATAGATCTGGGAGTCATATGCACAGAAATGAGCATGGGAGCTAATGAAGTCACCAAGGGAGAATGTAGAGAGAGAAGAAAAGAGGCCCCAGCACAGAGTCTTGGGAATGCACTCACCGTTGAGGCCTATGATATAGATGATAAATCAGGTACCTGAGAAGGAGTAGTCAGACAGGCAAGAAAAAGCTCTGACAGGGAGAGGGAGAGATAGAGGGAGTCAGAGAGAGAGAGAGAGAGAGAGAGAGAGAGAGAGAGAGAGAGAGAGAGAGAGAGAGAGAGAGAGAGAGGGAGGGAGGGAGAGTAGTGTTACAAAAAACAAACAAACAAAAAAAACAGAAAGGAAAGCATATCCAGGGGAAGAGAGAGATCAATAGTGCCAAATGCTCCAAAGAGATCAAAAAAGATGAAAATTGAGGAAATTCTATCAGATCTAGTAATTTAGAGATCAATGGTAATTTTGGGAAGAGTAGTTTCAATTGAGGAATGAAATCTGAAGCCAAATCACAAAGACCTGAGAATCAGGAGAGAGGAGAGGAAGGGTAGACGATGATTGCAGACTGCTTTTTCTAGGATTTGGCTGTGAGAAGTAGGAGAGATGTAGGATTTCAGCTCAA